ATATATATATAATATATATATATATATACATATATATATATATATAAATTAGTTGTGTATTAAAACGACGATCATATATTTATATATATATATATATATATAATGTCGTTTTAATACACAACTAATATTCAAAAACAAAATAAAATACCGTTAATCGCATAAACATTTATTATTTTATATGTTTTTCTCGCCCAGGATCAAAACCATATGAAAATATGTCGATTAGCACAATTACTAAGGAAGTAATTGGAGGCTTGCGACTGACAAAACCCCCAAAATGCTCCAACGAATTGTGAGTATGGTGGTTTATTTTCTAGGTTCCTGTTTCATTAAGCATACGTTTGTGGAGGGCTTCAGTGCAGGGCTTGATGAGACCGGTGCTTGTTAAGAGCGGCAGTTATTTTACATGTTTGTAGTCTGTCGGAATTTAAGTCAGATAGACTAAAATAATAGCCTTTTGTATAACTCGTGAAAAATCGGCTGTTTCATTGTACAAAATAACATTGCACGTTCGGGGAATACTCTTTATAAAGCCAGTCATGTATTAAAATAGAACATACAGTATCTATTATTCGACCGCTGTACTAAAAGTAAAACATATCAGCTTTGTTATGGCGCTTAATATTTATCATAGAGCAGGGTTTCAAAAGAGGCACTCATTGGATCATTTAAATTACAATACGTACTTTTCTGAATGGCTTCTGGACAAGATACCCCTTGTCATCAACGTTTTGATGGCAATTAAGATAACGATGATAATGAAGAAGAAGAGGATTGTGATGATAATGATAATGCCGATATTGTTATTCGGAAACGCTGATAATAATAAAACAGATGAAGTTGATAACAAAGACAAATATCTTAACAGTTATTACATATAGGCCTATTCCAATAAGCATTAGGTTCAACTATCGGTGTTGCAGGATTTAGTTTTCATGATTCTCGCCTTGACAAATATAAAGTTTGTGTGAAGCATTGTGTGTGTATTTTTGTCTTGTAAAGGGAATTACATTACTGACATATTCGCTATTGGTAAATTTTGGCTTATATATGTGCGTGTGTGCCTAAAAACATAATAAATTGCATACCATAATGTTTCATGATGAACTTTTCACATAATATTTTGATTTCAGATACTCAGTTATGACTTCATGCTGGCATAGCACACCTGAAAGCAGACCCTCATTTGAAAGTCTTTCCGGGGACCTCGACACTGTAATACGCAGTAGTCAACAAAACGTTGACACCTTATCATTTGATGACAGAGCAGAGTATTTCGGCTTAGATGGGTATCGAAGATAAATCAGAAACAGAATCAAATTATTTGAGTTGAATTGTAGAGTGATTAAAACGCTTGCCTTCTAGACCTAAGGTCCTGGGTCACAATAGACCTTTCCGGAGTGTCAATCAAACTTAACTGACTAATCAGAACAGTGCTAGGAATACGCGCGCGTCTCACAAACACACGTGTTGTCCCACAAACGCACGTGTTTGCGTATGTTTTAACACATGTCGTCTTGTGGGACCTTAGCAACAATTTCCAAGGGGCGGGGCTTAAAGGAAAGGTCCATTCCTGTGACACCAGGACCTTTTCATGACTAAAACAACTCCACTATAATCCTCATAAATAGACCTTATAAAGCCTCGTTCCATCCTATAATTAGGAAATTAATTGCTGTTAGATGCAAATAAATATATTATATTAAAAATTGTCTCTTAGAATATTATAGGGGAACACAGTAGATGTAAAAATACACAACATTAACAGAAGATATTAAAGGCTATATAATAACAATGAAATAAATAGCAATTAACCTAAAAACTCCTACTAAATTGTTTCGTCCCGTTGCCATACTGTAATATAATGAACGGGTGTTGTAAGGTAAAAATGAATTGAATTGTAATCAAGTAAACAACAGAATATTCAAAGAAGTGTATTAGTATACAGTGTTATATAGCGTACGTGTCAAGGTGATGATCCTATTATTGCTCAATATATTTTTAAGGAATGCATGTGTATGTTTATAGTTTACGCGTACGATTAAAAGAATGAACAGTATGTACTGATAAATCATTCGTTGGAAATGTATTTATCAGCACACGAATATATTTTGTAAATGATTAGCGTCTTTAATAGCCATTATATTTGTTTTATAGTGAATCAGGAGGACATTTGTATAATATTTACTTTATCTGGACTTGTG